TGACACGCAGCAGGCACTCAACAAACACCCCAGTGAGCACACACACACACCGTGCGTCCAACACACCTCTCGGGGTGGGCCAGGGCGAGCTTGGAGACACAGGGCAGGATGGCCACCGAGGGGCAGCTGTGCTGACAAGTGGAGTGGCCACTCATGGCCATGCTTGGTGACCACAGGACCCAAGGCAGGGGTATCGCGCCAGGACCGAGGCTCCACAGCCTCCCTGCAGCCACCGGCCACCCGGGAGAGAGGGGACACATACAGACGGGGCATCAGAGACAGCAAGTGAGACCGGGAAGGGGGGCAGAGACCCCAGGAGAGCCCACAGGACTTCCTGGACATAAACGGTAACAGGAGCAAAGGAGAGCCGAGAGGGAGGCAGACAGACCCCTGGGCTGGAGGTCCCCAGCGGCAAGGGACAGGCAGGGCCAGGAGCTCAGGGCAGTCTCAGAAACAAACGCAGCACAGGGTGGGGGCTGAGCGGCTTGGGTACAGCTGGGCACAGCCGGTCCTGCTCCCGGCTGCCTGCTGGGAGGTCTTGGGGGTGCACCTGGAGTGCCCCTCCGGAATCCACATCTGCCCCCGACAGAGAGCTTCGCTGTGAGCCCCGTCTGCAGCCCTGATTTAGCAAGCCCGAGACAGACTAGAGAAAACCCTGGGTCAGGGTTAGCCTCTGGAGGACGGCTTCGTGGCCGAGATGCCCCCCATGGGACGGCCGTGGGACCACCTGGGACTGCTCACGGGCTGCCCAAGCCCTCGGCCCCAAGGGCTGAGCAAGCTGGGCTGGAGCTGCATCTGTCCCTGAACAGCAGGTGACTAGGCGAGTGAGCGCCTGAACCTGGCTGCCCTGTCCCCTCCTCTGTGAAATGGGGGTCGCGACAGGGTCACCCTGCCACACTGGTCAGAGCTGCAGCACAGCCCAGTTAACACCCCGCGACAGTAGTCCGGCGTCCCGGACCCCAGTAGAGCTCCCGTGTCCCACAGACCCCGACACCTGAGGACGGGGACACGGACACACACGAGGCAGCTCCTGACGTCTCTGCAGGAGTGGGGTTGACATGCAAGTGACGTCAGAGCCCAGAAGTGTGAAACCCATGCAGAGTTAGTACAGCATTTCCTGGGAGCTTTCTGAAGACCCCTTGTACTGGTAGGGACAAACTAAGTCTCTCCCGTGTCTGGGGGCCCAGGACGGCAGGGAGAAGCCGGCCCCCACCCTAAGAGCTTAACGCCAACAGAGACATGTTAAGAGAAGGCTCCCTTCTGCAGCCAGTCCTCACCCCAAGACCTCCGGGGGCTCGGCCACTGGGACGGCTAGAGAGCCACCCCTCGGGGCTATGGGAAAGGCTAGGCCATACCCAGGGCGGCAGGCAGGGACTGTGTTCTGCTTACCCAGAAGCCCACAGGAAGGATGGCGACAAGCACCGAAGGACCCAGGGTGGCTGTGAGGGTGGGTGGCAGGGCAGGTTGGGTGCCCTGTGCCAGGGATCCTTGTAGAATTCTGAGGCCCTGAGCCGCCAGGAGTCCAGAGCGCTGTTCGGCAAGGATGGACAGCTGGGGTGACCGCCCCAGCCCACCCTGGTCACCGCGCCCTGCACGACTCTCTCCACCTGGAGGCTCCCGCTGCACCAGGCGGGGTGGGTGGGCAGTGGCTTCACCACCCTCGGTAAGAAGCTGCGTGGGCTGCAGGGGGTAAGCCCTGTACACTCTGCAGGGCCAGGCGCGATCGGAATCCCAGCCCCGGGGGCTTCATGAACACACTGGGTGCGCACGGATCAGGTCCAAGATCCCGATGGGGTGGAGGGAGCCAGGAAAAAGGAAAAGTCCCATGTCTCTGACGTGTAAACACACACAATCTGACGTAAAGAAAATGACAAAACAAGACACAGCGGGCTCTGTCAGTCAAGTGTCTGTCCTCCCGAGCAGAGATGCTTGAACCTGCCCCGTGCCAGGATCGGCAATGGGACCGGGAGGTTTATGGGCAAGGCCGGGGGTTTCATAGCAACAACAGAGAAGGAGCAGCTCAGGCCCACTCTGGCCGAGACGGCCCCCGGACTGTGGGACACACACCCCCCGGACTGCAAGACGGCCCCCCGGACTACGAGATGGCCCCCGGACTGCGGGACGGCCCCCCGGACTACGAGACAGCCCCCGGACTGTGAGACAGCCCCTGGACTACGGGACGGCCCTCGAACTGCAGGACGGCCCCCCTGCATTCTGCTGCCGGGTGGGTTGGCCTAGACACAGTCACCACGGGAACGTCCAACTGTGTCGGCCCTGACGAGCGGGGACAGGTGGCAGGGCACATGTCCGCTTGGCACAGAAGCTGTTCCAGGGTACAAGGGTGCGTCTCCATCCCCGCAGGACCGGCCGTGCCAGCATCGCCACTGTGCTCCCAGCTGACCAGGAAGGGGGACTCCGAGACACCTCTGTCCACCCATCAGGGTGGAGCTGGTCTCCATTTCTTCACGATCAAGGCCCCAGAGGTACGGGGACTCTTCCCAACACAGAGCTCCCTGATGTCCCTGAGCCGCTGCGCTTGCGCTTTCCTCTTCCCAGAAGCCCTCAGCTCCCTGTGGCTCCCTCCTCGCCTCGCTGTGGGGCCCTCCCCCAGCCCATCCCGGCCCCTCGGGAGCCTGCAGGTGCATGCTGGAAGCCGCCTCCTGCTGCTCTGTGCCACTAGCAGCCACATGCTTCCAGTGCGTGGGTGGGTGCAGGCAGGGCACCCCTGCCACGCAGCACAGGGCAGGTGAGCCCTTGGAGCACCTAGGGGCTCCCCTCCCAGACAGCCTCAGCACAGTCTCCCCACCCTGCACACAGACGTGCTCTTGGCAGGGATGGGCCATCTCCAGCCCGCTGCCAGAAGGGCCCCATGACAGCAGCAGGGAGGACCTGGGGAGACCAGGCAGAGAACTGGCCCCGGGGATGCTCTGCAGACACCTGGCCATGCTTTGCAAACCCACCGCCAGGCTCCTCGCTCCCCAGGATCGCGATCTTCCTGTCCCCCGCCGCCCTCACGCCTCGATACACACGTGGTACCTGCCTGGCCTCATCTGACCTGCTGCCTTTGGGGCCCTGAGGCTTGGCGAAGACACTCTCTGTGTGTCCTCTGCAGCTCACCAGGTGTCTGCAAGCACACGGCCCTGGGCCGCCCAGCCAGGATTTTCCTGTCTGTTAGAGGCTGGCCAATTGTGGCTACAGAAAACCAGACAGGAAAACCCCATCCGCAAACCAGATAGAACCTGCCTTCAACAACCCATGGGGACGAGGACAGCGCTCAGGCCCAGGAACGTGGGCGCCGCATTTGCGCTGCAGCCAGGGCTGGTTATACCTCAGTGGCCGACTTCCAGGAGGGCAGGAGTGGGGCCGCCACCATGGGCCTGGTGTGCTGCAGGGCCTGACCCGGCCAGTCCAGGGCAGGGGCGTGGGCAGTGGGGAGGGAGGGCCTAGGGACACCAACATCAGGCAGCAGCACCTGGAAAACCTCAGGGTCCCCTCACCCCAGCTCGGGCTATTCTGGACTCTGCCACGGAGGCCCCAATTGCCCCTGGCCCCTGCAGGGCCCACCTCCTAGGGCCCCAACTGCCCATTGCCCCTGCTGGGCCCGCCTCCCAGGGCCCCGCCTACCTCCTAGGGCCCCGCCCACGATCCCTGCAGTGCACACCTAAGGCCCCAGGGCCCCGCCTCCCAGGCCCCCCCCCTGCAGGCCCAGCCCACATCCCGCCTACTGCCGGTCAGCAGACCTCCCACAGGTGCGCCCAGCACCAATCCCAGCAGTCTTTCTGCCAGAGCAACAGGGATCTGCCCTTCCCTCAGCTCCCACCTCCACCAGGACCACCTTTCCCTCTAACGGGCCAGAAAACCCTGCTGGCGGGTATCAGGAAAAGGCTCTGCGTGGACTCCAGGTATCTTTTGCACCAAAATAAATACGTCCTTTCATTTCATTTTTCCACGAACTCTGAAGTCTCATGTATTTTAGGCTTTTCGGGCAAGACAGTTTCTGTCACAACGGCCCAGCCCTGCCACAGGGGCATGAAAGCCGTTGTGGTAACAGGGTAACAGGTACAGGGTCAGGCATAGCCGTGTGCCAATGACACTCTGACGAACAGGTGGGGACCACACGCAGTGTGCCAACCAATGTGCCCAGCCCACTCTAACATGCGTCACCCTCAGTCCACCCTAAGCAGTGTCGTCAGATACACGTCGACATCGGATACAAGACAGCAAGTCGAGCACACGGTGGGGGGGGATGGCCTACAAGCTCCCCTTCTCTCAAATGTGCATTAAACACACACACACACACACACACACACACACACCCTATTAAAGTTGAAAACGGGCTGGCAGGTGGCGCGGTGGATAAGGGCGCTGGATCCCACATGGCCAACCATGGTTCGAGTTCCGGACCTGGTGGCTTGTGTTCTCACTTTCCCTTTTTCTCTCTTTCTGGCCAAATTAAAAAATAGCAATAACAAATGGTATTAAATGAATTAATCATTATTTTTAAAAATTTTTTTAAGTTGAAAACATGGTTACGTTTGTGGACCACGGACTGTTATCGCTCTTCATAACCTATTTTAAGGTAATTTTGCCATAAGGCACATGAGCTCGCCAGAGCGAGACAGAGGGAGAGTGAGAAGCCACTCCCCATGGGCATGGCCACGCCACAGTCCCTTCCACTCTCTCCCTCTCCTCTCAGGATTCTGGGCACGCACACGCACACACCCGTGTGACTTCTGAGCTGCTAGGTCTGGGACTCGAACCACAGGTGGACCACCCCTTTAGCCACAGGGACCCTGGGTCATCAGCCAGGTGGCCCGGAATTGTCCAGGCTTCGGACGTGCTCTGGGGGGGTCTTCCTAGCCCGGCTGCCACCAGGTCAGCCATCCGCAGAGCAACACGACACACAGAGGCAGTGACCATCAACCATGCGAGCCCGGCCACCAAGCAAGCAGCTGGGCAGACGGGGCAGGTCCCCAAGGACGCCCACCCCCACCTCTCACCTGGCCTTTTCCGCGGCGCCGGTAGCTCCGCCTCACCAGGCTCTTGTAGTTCTCGTTCTTCTTGGTCAGGTAGTAGTAAAGGACACACTCGGCCACTGTCTGTGTGACACGGAGAGAGGGACACGCAGGTGTCAGGGCAGAGCAGCAGCCCCGAGCCCAGCGTGCACCCTGGCTGGGTGACTGGACAAGCCGCCTAACTGTCTCAGCTCTGCACCTCCTTTACGGGCCGTCAGAGACCCCGTCCACGGCCGCGTACTAACCCAGTACGTGGGACGACACCTGGCACGCGACGGGGCGAGTGCTGCAGACGCGACGCCTGTCACCGCCATCGCTTTTGTTACTGACGATGATGAGTTTCTACGCCTGGCTCTCAGGGAGGACGAGGGTTTAGTCAGACGGGCAAACTCCAAATCATCCCCAAACGCGGACCCGGGGCCTCCCGCCTCCGTCCCCGCCTTCTCTCTGGAGTCCCCAGCCACTCTTCTGAGCCTCTTGCATCAGGACTGCCCCGTGTCCCCACAAAACCCTTCTGGGTCGACTTCACTCCCCTGGTGGCCTTTCCACATGGATGTGAGCCTGTGTGCTGGGAGAGCAGCCTGCTCGCTGGGCTCCCACTGGGCTCCCTGTCCGGATGGGACCGAGGAGGGGCATCCCCAGAAATCAAGGTCAGGCTGACCCAGCGGCGCGGTGGGCCCAGCTCGGATGCTGGCTCGATATCACTCACACAGTGCGGGAGGTCCTGCTCCTGGGATGCCCAAACCAAGGGTGAGCCAGGAACCCGCCCGAGAGGCATGCCATGAGGCCCGCCAAGTGCCAAGGTAGCCGGCCCCGAACCCCAGGCTGCCCTCCTCCCAAACCACCGCCACCTGGAGTGCGCCGTGAAGAGGCTATTTACAGGCGGGCCCAGGCCAACCCCAGCCCAAATGTGCCCGCAGCCCAGAGGACCTCGGGACAATCAGAGGCCAGAGCACGCGAATCAGGCCAGGCGGGAGCCAGCTGCTCCGGGACCCGGAGAGCGCCCGGTGCCCCGTGACCACAGCTGGCCTGTGCAGCGCCTGCCCTGCGGGGGCATGGTGGCCGTTTCCCCTGCTCCTGTGGACCTGGTGGCCTCTGGCTTGGCACCTCCTGTGTAGACCTCAGGCACACCTCTTAGCCAAAGGGCACCGTGACACCCACTCTCCAGGGCTGAGACGCCGGACCCCTGGTTCCTAACAGGCTGGCCCGGGGGCTGGTTGCTGAAAGCCCCACCTAGCATCTGCCGGGCGGCACCATCCACCCTGGGCCGGTCGTTGGCCCTGCCCGTTCCTCGCCGGGCTTCGGGGCCAGGGAGGCTTTTCTGCATGTGTCGCAGCTCCCTCCTGGGGGTCAGGGGGTGCGGACACAGCAACAACTGCCATCCTTCAAGGAACTGCCCACAACCCGGGAAGCCCGAGGCCTTCAGTAGCAAAGCCGGGTGAGCAGACGCCCGTTCCGAGAAATCTGACTTGGGCAAAGTTCCTTAAGACACGGCAGCAGCCCCCAAAGGGAAAACCATAGGGCAGGTCCTGGTTCCAGCCCAGTACGGCCAGGGGCTCCAGGGCTGCCCAAACCGCAAGAGTCTTCGAAAATCTCGTGGGAAATGCGGATTATGAAAAACCCCTTGAAAACTGTTTGTCACCCCCCATTTTCCACGAACTTTCCGAAGTCCCTGCGCACAGCCTCACCCAGGACATGGCGCCACCTCTCGCCCACCCATGGTCTCCGGGCTCTGCCTGGCCAGCCTCTTGGGTGCACAAAGAGGGGACACACTATATCTGCTTGCCAACAGGGGGCTGGAGCAAAACAGGGGTGCGGACAAGTCAGGGTGGCCAACGTGGTGTCCAGCAACCACTGGGGACCTCGAAGGTCACTGCACTCAGGCCTCTGGAGGCACACCCCTCCTGCCTGTGAAGCCGTAACTGGGACGGTGGGCGGGACAGCCTCCGGAGCCCCCCAACTTGTAAGAACACTTGCCGTGTAGGGGTCTGGCAGAAAGCCGGCGCCCAGGGCTCTCCAGGCCTGTCCACCGGCAGAGCCCGGGCTTCCAGGCTCCTCCCCTACCGCCCATGAGGCCAGGGCGGGGCCTGGCGGCTTCTCCCAGGAGCCAGGAAGGGATCATGGAGGGAGGAAAGGAGGACCTTGGCAGGAGGGGAGGTCCTTGGCGGCGGTGGGGGCCGACAGGCTGAGGCCTTGTGGCCAGGGGGGGGTCCACACCCTGGCTCAGGCCACGGGAAGTGGACCCTAAGGGGGCGGGGGCAGGGCCCCTGGGGGGGGCAGCGACTCACCTTCCTCTCCAGGAACGAGGCGATGAGGCCAAAGTTCTTGGGGTGCTGCATGAACCTGTGGGAGAGGGGGCGGCGTGAGCGGCGAGGGGCTTCCCTGCGGGGTGCTGTGCGCTCAAGGCGCCTGCCCTCTCCCGCCGCTCGGAGAGGGCGTTCCTGGGAGTGAGTCACTGGCTTTAGCGCCTTTGAAAATATATTTGTTTGTCCTGCTGGAGGCGGCTTCCAGGAAAAATGAGGACATTACACCAGCTCTGGTGGGGTCCCCCCCTCTAGACGCTGCTTTTGTTTCTCCCTCCAGCTGGGTCTGGGAAGCGGGGCCTCGCCCGGCCCACACGGGCCTGCCTGGGAACACGGGGCCCCACCCACGGGGCCACGGCCGCCGCGGGCTGCTGCGTCGGCCTCCGGGACCCGAGCGAGGTCCGAGTGCCGGGGAGGCGCAGGAACGGACTCGCGCCCGCGGGCTGGCAGGGAGTTGGTAACGTGCCAGCTGGCTTCCTGCGCGGCCGGAGAATTACTGGGAAACCGCGCGGCAGGGCTGAAATGTCAGGGCCAGTGGAGCAGGCGGATGGCGGGGGAGGGGGCTGGGTCAGGCCCGCGGGCCAGCCCTGGGTGAGGTCTGGGGTCCTGGCCCTGGTCTGGCGTCCCCGGGCTGTGCCACAGCTGTGCAAGCAGAAGAGCAGCAGCGAGCAGGACAGAGGCCGCCGGCTCCCACTGAGGACGCCAGGCCAGCGGCCTCCAGATGGCTGGGCAGGAGGCCAGTGGCCCCTCCCAGACACCAGCCGGACACCCGAGAATCTGGTCCGCCTCTCCTCCTTTCCCGGAGGAAGCAGTGAGTCGCCGGTGTCGGACTTCAAGCTCTCCTGCTTGGGAACCCCCTCGGGGAGCAGGAACAGCCGTAGCCATCGGCAAGCGCTTTTCTTTCAGGTATGGGGGCGCCTTTCTGTCCCCCTCCTGGCCCCAGGGGCATTTTCTTTCCTCCCATATCCCACCCATAGGGCTTTCCCAGGCAGAGATAGGGACCCCCAAGAGACCTGGAGTCAACCTTGGGAATCCTAGCCACCTGTTCCCTCCCGCACCATGCCGTGAAGTCCCTGCCAATGTGTACTGAAAACTTCCTAGCACCGGGCACCTCCTGACAGCGAGCGAGGGGCCGGTGCTGCACCCATTTTGCAGATGAAGAAACTGAGACTCAGTGGGGCCAGAAGAGCCAGGGCTTGGCCAAGGTCAGAGTGTGTGGCTTGCTCCAGGTCTGAAGCCTGACTAGCTCCAGGTCGAGGGGCGTGGCTAGTTGGAAGACAGAGGGGGCGTGGCTTTCTCCGTGCCGAGGGGCGTGGCTTGCGCAAAGCCAGAGGGCCCTGGCTACTGGAGGTTGGAGGGGGAGTGGTTTACTCAAAGGGGGGCGTGGCTAGCTGGAGGGGCATGGCTTGCTGGAGGCCATGCTGCCAGTATGGCGTGGGAGCCCTATGCTAGCGTCTCCATAGATCATGATCCCTTGGCATCTCCAAACAAAATCACTCTCCCGGGACGGCTCCCACCACCGGGCTGCGTGTGACGCCACATCGTCAGCAGCAGATGGCATCTTCAGGCCCTGAAGGGCAACATGAAACCTCCAGAAAGACTGGAGTCGCAGGAAGCACCCCAAATGCTTCTAGTTTCTTAAGAAAGCATGAATAAAATTGCCAGGCATACCAGGAAGGAGCTCTAATCTCCAAGGCCACAGTGACTCTCAGCAGCTGTGACTGTCAACTGCTTGGGTTAAAGACACGTATTAGACATAGAACTCGGCTTGACGGTGGCTTCAGTTCGCCACGGGGTCTCTCTGCCTGCCCCTGAGCGGGAGACTGCAGCAGGCCGCCAGCCCTGCTCCCACAGTGCCGACCGGTGCGGGGGGATGCAGGCTCCTATACTACCCCGCTTCTCTGCTTTACAATGTCTGTCACCAAAAGCTACTCTGAAACCTGTCATTTTCCCCCAGACCCTCTCAGGTCTCCCCTGCCGGCAGTTCAAGTTCTGCTGTCTACACGGGCTCATCTGCCCCTGCCTGGCCCAGACTCTCCCCATCCCTCAGGCCCCGCTGGGCACTTTGGGGCACCCAGCCTGGACTCTGACCCCCAGCAGGTGTTGGAGGAAGGACGCCCTTTCTCCTGAGGGGGAGGCCTTCTCCGGAGGGGGCAGGGAGGCCCCACCGCTCTGCAGACGGAGGGCCCCTACCTGTGCCTCAGTTTCCTTCTCGGGCATCCTGGGTCCTGAAGAGGCGCCATCCACCCAGGGAGGGAGCCCCGAAGGGCATCCTCCTGACGGCACATCCCCCCAGAACATGGGAACTACGGTAATGAAGGGGGACCGTGCTGGGTGCCATGTAGCGGTGTCCTCACAGAAAGGACATACCAGACAGAAGAGCCACGTGAGGACGGGGCCGAGCCAGAGTGACCGTCCACAGCCCAGGCACACCCAGCAGCGGCCACAGCCAGGGTGAGGGTGCGGCCGGGGCCATGGCCTGGATTTAGCCCTGGCCCCACCTCCGTTGGGCCCCCCACCTCCCCGGCCCTGCCTCCATCTGGGCTCCCCCTGGCCCTGCCTCCGTCTGGACCCCTGGCCTCCAGGACCCTGACACCTTCCCGCCGTCTGGAGCCACCAGTTTGCCTCGGCAGCCCAGGGACGACCTGCCGCAGAGGGCTGTGGGGCAGAGGACTCACTTCTCCCGGAAGGTGTCCTTCTCCTGCTCGCTCCACACGTTCATCACCTGGCGGTCCTTGTACACCTTCATGGGGTCGTCCATGAGCCCGTTCATGTTGATGAACTTGATGCGCTGCTGGTCCGCGTCGTACAGCATGGGCGGGATGACCGCCAGCTGGCGCATCTGCTTCTCCAGGTTCTGCCGGACAGAGCAGGGCCCGGTCAGTGCGGGCGAGTGCAGAGCCCAGGGAGAGAGCGGCGGGCTAGAAAGTTCTGAGCGTGGACGCTGGGGGAGCGAGGATTTGGAGGCCGCGACAGGTTTACGGCGGGCAGGGCTGTAAATTTAACGTGGAGAGCGGCACAGCCTTGTCCGTGCAGGGAGGGCAGCGATGAACCTTCCCTCTGGAAATGCACTGCCATGAAACACTCAGGGAAGAGACTCAGCCCGCTGGCCCAGAGGGCTCAGCAAACGATGCCCAGCAGGGGGTTCAGAGCACCCGCCTGGGTCTCAAGGACTGGCTGCCCCTCTGAGCATGCCCAGGGACATGGAGAACAAGAGAGGTGGGGCTGCCTCCTCCAGAAAGCCTGCTGAGGTTGCCACCTGTCTCCCCAGCCCACAGCACCTGCAGCATGCTCAAGTGGGAGGAGGACTAGGCAGCTTAGTGGTCAGTCAGCTGGGGTCACCACAAATCTCTGCAGCCCACCAGTCACTAGGGGTTGATCACCCCTCTCTGAAGGCCAGGAGGCTCAGGCCAAGGTCAACTAGTTCCCAGACCCGCTGCCCAGCCCAGCCCCTCAGCATTCGACATCTGGACTCTCAGCCAGGGAGAAAGTGGGACCCACCCGACTGCCCCCCCAGCTGGGCCAAGTGCCCCCACCGCTGGCCAGCTCTTAAGAGGAGGGCCAGCAATGGCAGAGACCTCCCCTCCAGGACGGCTGCCCTGCTGTCCCCCCCACTCTGGTCATGTCCTCTGACCACGGGAAGCCCTCTCCACTGCCTGGCACCCCACAACTCCACACACCCTTTGGTGGCTCTGCTGGCCAAGGAAGCTTCCATCAAGTTCCATTTCCATCCCTACGGACTCTGGGAAGAGGGGGGAGGGAGTGGTAGCCCAGATGCCACACACCCTTGGCCACTGGCACGGGGGCTCCACGGGGTGCCCACAGGCCAGGGCTCTCGGGATGGGGCAGAGGCCAGCCCAGCTGTGTGCCCATGTGCTAGGCAGGCCTCGGGACTACAGGCGGTGTTCTGCTTCCCATCGACTGGATGTTGGCTGAAGCAAAACATGTCATGAGACGTTTGTAACCAAGTGGCCCGGCCAGGTAGTCACCCAGGCTGGCTCATGGGGCAGTGTGTAAGAGTGCAGATCCCAGGGCTCTGCCCAGACAGCAGGCTCAGACTTCCAGAGACGGGCCAAGGACTCTGCAACTGAAGCAAGCTGCCCTCCGTACTCAGGGGGCCTGACCCTCGAGACCCAGGAGGGGACAAGTTGGCACCGACTTCCCCGGGGGATAAGTCTCCTCCCTGCTTCCTGGCCATCTGCGGGCTCAGGTGTCCAGCACCCCTGGGAGGCCATGTTGGGGACGCAGCCGTAGGCACTGCTGGCCTCTGACCTCTTGCCAGCCCCAGCCAGTGGGAGCAAGGCAGACGCAGGCAGAGCAAGAGCTGCGTCCTGTCCAGCTTGCGCCATGCTGTGCCGCAGCCCTCCCTGGCCATGCTGGGCCCGCACGCTCAGCTATGCCCTCTCTCTGCTCACCCCACCCGACGGCTTGTCCCGGGGGCCTCGACGGCCTCGGCTTCAAAACAGGCCCTGTTTCCCGGGGCTCACCTCCTGCTCCGAGAGGCCGTCGATGATCTCAGACACCTCGTGCTCGCTGCGGGCGGCCGACATGGAGAGCCCGCTGCCCCGCTGGCCCACCCTGCTGGGGACCGAAGGGACACATTCAGCACCGGCCCCTCGGTAACCGGGACACTCGGCTGGCAACCAGGACGCCCAGCCAGCAACGGGACGCAGGCCAGCCCAACCTCCCCAGCAACGGGAGTGGCAGAGGGCCGGACTCCCACCCACAGGGTCGGCCGGGGCCAAGGGTCCAGGGAGGACACAGAGCCCCACCCTGACCCGAGACCTCAGGGCCTCAGCCCCTTCATACCTCCCAAGACACCCTGAAAAGCCCAGCCACAGAGATCTGAGTTCAAATCCCAGCTCTGCCTTTACGGCCCCGGGCAAGGTGGGACTCCCTGTGGCCTCCTTCCTCCTGGCAGTGGCCATCCGAGGCTCACAGAGACACCCTGGCAGGTGCCTGGAGAGGGGGACACGTGGCTGTGACAGCGAGTCGGGGACCCACCCATCTGGCAGACATGGTGACACCTACTAGGAGTGGCAGTCACCTGTCCGCAGGCACTTCTTCACCCTGGGGGCTAGCACCCCAATCTCCACTGCCAGGCTGGCTCTCTACCCTCTGACCCCACCCCAGCGGCCTCAAACCCAGCGGCCTTCAGGGCCGTGAATGTCACAGGAGCCAACACAGGGGCAGGTACCAGCCACGGTGCCCCAGGAGGGTGCTTGCCCAGAAGTGGGTGATTCCCAGTCGGGGTCAGGCCAGGTGGCTCTCGGTGAGGCACGCGAGGGGAGACCCCGCCACTCCACCTGCCCTGGGGGTGGGAGGGCAGGTGCTATGTTGGCCCATCCCCATGTGGGCTCACCCCTGTGCTGGCCCACCCCCGCAGGCTCACCCCCACACTGGCTCACCCCTATGCTGGCCCAACCCCTGCGGGCCCACCCCCCACAAGCTCACCCCTATGCTGGTCCACCCCTGCGCTGGCCCATCCTGCTGGCCCACCCCTCATGCGCTCCTGCAGCTCACCCACCCCTGCGCTGGCCCACC